GGGGGGGCAGTGGGGGGCGGGGGCGCTGCAAGCTCGGACAAGTCCGTATCAAGAGAGGGGGCCGCAACAGCAGCATCCCGGTGGACAACCAGCTCTGCTCCCTTATCTATCTCTCTCCTTCTCTCATTCTCTCTCTCTCTCCTTTCATTCTCCCTGTCTCCCCCTCCCCTCCCTGCCATCTCCCCGGGCGGGCCGAATTGCGACATCCGCGTGGCCCGCGTCCATGTCGCAGAGCGGTACCTGCAGCTGGCCCAAAGGGAAGCTCTCCCCAAACCAACCCCCATCTCTGGTCATCAGATATTCCAGTCAGATCCAACCAGCCGGGCGCCATGGATCATCCAGATTAGCGGCACCGCGGACCCCCCACCCTCCGGCCCAGTCTAAACGAAGCCAGCGCAGCCGCAGCCGGGCCGCAGCCGGGCCCACAGCGCGCCGCCAGCCACTCTTATCACGCGGAGAGGGGCCCTGCTTCACTCCTCCTCAACCTCCTCTCCCGTTCCCTGGACCTGCTCCGCGCCGGCGGCAGCCAGCCAGCGGCAGAGGGAAGGGAAATTACTCTTCTTGAATATCAGCAACTTTGAATAAAGATCGTCGCCGAGATACGTGCACGCCGCCCGGCGCGCCGCCGCGGCCGCCACTTTTCTCTTGTGTCCGACAGAGCAGCGGGGCGGCGTGCTACTTGTACCCACTTTACACAGGTGTCGTCCCCCCCCCCCTCCCCTACTTTGCTGATGTGTGCTCAGTTGCGCCTGGGACGCCGCTGGAGGTGGGGGGGGGGGGCTACTTCCCCGCTCTAGCGGAGGCGGTGGTGCCTGTCATGGCGTGATGGTCGTCGTCGACGACGCCGTCGGACAGGTGAGCGGTATAGCGACGCCCCCGCTGCTGTCTCCCTCACGCGTCTGACATAAAACCGCCGACATGCCCGCCCTGCGAGCTCCCCGTCACCCCCGCGCCCCTTCCCCTCCCGCGGCGACCAGCGCGAGGACGGCGGTGCACCGCGGCAGTCCGCCGGCACATGCGCCGGTGTGCACCTCGCAATGCACCCGGGGAGAGTCACCGAGCTACCTCGAGTACAAGGGGAGGAGCACCCCCACTCGCCCGAGTTACCCTGGCGCGAGGACGCCGCCGGGGAAGTCCGGCATCGCACTGAAGCAGGAGAGGTGCTCCGTGGTGCATTCGGGAGAAGGACGGCGAGGTGACGAGGCTCGAGGGTGCGAGGATGCACGTGCAGAGCCAAGCGCGTCGAGGAAAACGTAATGTATATAGAGCCATCCGGTCAGTCATCACAGATTGTCACCGGCTCCCGAAGAACGCCTCTTCAACTGCCTTTTTATGAGAGTGTATGTTTAAGTAGGTGTGGTGTGGAGCGTCACTTTGATGCACTAGCGAGTAGTTTCGTGGAAAGAAAAATTGAATGGTTTTATGTCGTCATAAGACTTTGTGCTGTGACTTGTTCAAAAAGCTCTGGGTGCGATCGATTTGCTCTCTGTGACTGAAATTAGTTGCGTTAACAGAACGCCTGTGGTCTTGTACACACAGCTGTAACTCGGCGAACTCGGCCTATGATAAATTTGGGAAACGAAATTCCTGCACCAAATGAGACTTTAACAGAACTCTCATTTCTTGCCATATATATCTTACAGTGGCCGAAACACTGCAAATAATACACCAAAAGTAGAAATGGTAATGTCATACCGTCCAGTTTCGATTTACACACTATAACTAAGAAAGGGAAATTTTGTGGTTGGCGAAGAAGTTGGCGCCTTGTGTGTGTTACTGAACGACCTTTATTCCCCCAGGCAGCACGAGGAGGGCCCCCTTCGCTCCCTTCGTATGAAGAGCGTGCGGCAGCGGAGGAAGCAGCACGCTCACACGAGTCCCCTAATGCCTCGAGCCTGGCGGACAGGTTGTCCTGTTCGAGTAATTTGTTCGCTCGGCTCGATGTATGAGGAAAAGCTCGGTTCATCGCGAGGGCGCATGGTTGTGACCGCTCATCAACAACGGGAAACGACTTGCATTAAGTTGCCTGTAAAACATTCATTGGAGAGAAAGAGACCGCAGAGAGTTTTAACGGTAGTTGTAAATTGTGTTACAACTTGTCTCGGTGCAGTGTAAGTATGCTTGCAACGACCATGTAAAACAAGAAGCTCGGTGGACAGTAATAATAAAGAAACTCGGTCCCAAATCCCGAATCCACGGGCAAGTCCTGCGGGGCGCGGCAGAGTGACACCGCAGCTGCTTGTGGGCCATGTGCAGCACGCGCACGGCCTTACCGGCTCACTCGGCGACACCTTCTCCTCCTTCACTCCTGACGCGACACGGCAGTGACGCCGATAGCGACGCTCGGGTCTCCGATAACAAGAGCCTCAGTCGAAGAGAAAGGGGGCGGAAGGCGAGGGATGGGGGGGGTGGGGTGGATTGCTCTCCGCAGACCACGCCGTTCACAATACAAGAGCCGCGGGGCTGTGATGGTCCTGGAGCAGTTTAGAGAAGGGAAGGGCACTGGTTGTCTCTGCACGCCCCTTACCCGCGGGCCCACAACCATTAAAAGTTTTTGTATAATGAACCGCAAATCAGAAATAAAATTTCTAGAAACTATGTACACTTTTTGCCACTCCTTCCATTCTCCTGTCGTCTCCCGCACTTCTTTGATATATTCACCACACTGTAAAATAATGTCGTTTTGAAAAAAGACTAGTTATTATTTTTTTGACCAAGCACAATTTTACAAACGACATATTACAAAAATAATAATTTAGGCTTAAAACTTATATCCCTAAAGATGTTCTCGTTCTCCAAGAGAAGTTATCTTGCCTGAAGCCCCCTCAGGGCGGGCTGCCGTCTTCACGCAGGTGTTTGGCGGGTTGGCCTACCCAACACATAGTAGGCGCCATCACGACCCAATCTACCTTCCCATATCCGTCGTTTCATTATTCGTCTTTTCTTCAACATTTACTTGGAAAATCATAATCATTCGACAGTTTCATGCTTCTAGGGATAAACAGCTGGTTAGACACGAAAAGGTTGGAAGTTTATTAGAATTCAATTTAAACGGCCCCAACTCCCCACCTTTTTTGGTGAAACTTATTAGGTTGGTGCACTTGAAAGTGCAACTGACTCGACTCGAATTATTTTGACTCCGACAGCCACACAGCTCTTGACAGGGCTAAGCAGTTTCTGCGACGGGGCCCAACAGCTGATGCGTAAATGTTACCATTGTTAGTTTCTTCACGTTATGTCCAACTGATAGACGCTGATAGAAAAGCCGATTTTAAGATAGTTAGCGTGCGGAAGACTCGCTTGTCGTTCACGGACGATTGACTGCCTGTGACATCTTCAGCTTTTCACTGTGACCATGGATCGCCGCAGGCGTACAATTTCGAATGAGGGGGTTAGTCGGAATGACTCAGACGAAACTTTTTACGAACCCGACTTGGACAAGGTTAGTAAGAGAATCGGCCACATCGGAGCACAAAAACGACCGGAGGTGACTAATTTTTATGCCAGATGTTAAGTGAGGTTATCTATCGAGCAAGTCTCGTCCGTGACCATCCTTCCGCAGCGAATAACCCTTCTTTTCTCTCACCTGAATCGGCTGGCATTATCTTGTCTCTAGCACCCTGACGAGGTGGATGAGGCCCGCTGCTTTGCCGCTGACAGCGAGGCCGTGGACGCCTACTTCGAGCAGACCTACAACAGGTACGGCCTGCATCCCAGCCTTGTGTCGCGCGCCCCCAGATCACCCCGCGGAGGGACAGACGAGACGTTCTACTCTCCCGCTGAGCGGGGCGGTCCCCGAGCTCCGCCGCAGCCGACGCAGCTGCCGGACACGGACGAGACGTTCTTCGAGCCGGCTGCTGGGGGCGCGCACCCGCACCGCGCTGGCCGCCGCCCCGTTGTCCCGGCTGACTCCCGGGTGGTGCCGCAGTCCCCGCCCTCGCACGTGCTCGCCGACGACGAGGATGAAGCTTTCTACGAAGAGGGCGACTACGGGATTCTGGAAGACGCCGTGGGTTCGGCGCTTGGCCTCCCCGAGGACGCCGGTGTTGCCGAGAACAGCAGCCTGTTCACCCACGACTGGAGCCAGCTCTGCTGGGGCCAGTGGAACGTTCCAAGGGACCACCAGCAGCAAGGTGAGATGTTACGCTAATCTGAACTGACTCCAGAGGCCAAGAGGCGGAACTCTCTCGACCAAATAGAAACGTTTGCGCCGTATGTTCGCGCCTTCGCGCTAGAATATGGACGCAGGCAAATAACAGCGCCAGTGTATTACAACGGCCCTTTCTTGAGTCCTACAACCCCTAACGACGGCATCCATCCTTTGCACACAGGTGATGTCGCGAACGACGTGTACCTTCAGATTCCGGACCCCGTGACCCAGGAGGTGCACTCGTACAAAGTACCGGGAGTGAGGATGGATGACCCCGACTCGCTGAGTATGTTCACTCAGGACCTCGGCTGGACACAGACGCAGCCATGCGCCTTTTTGGCCAACCACGAGCCCTCCGGCGGCCTGGCGCTGGTGATGACCCAGGGCACGCAGGACCTCGACTGGACGCAGACGCAGCACCTCGTGCAGATGGCCTCGTCCGAGAGTCAAGTCATGGATACCATCAGCGCTGGAGACCTCGACGGCTTCGCCTGTGAGCAGCAGACTTGCGCCCCGACTGGTGCCTCGGCCTTGGCCTCGGCCGGGTCGCAGCAGGCCTCCTCAAACGACCAGTCCATGGAGACCGTAACGCGCCCACCCCAGAGAATGCAGGCCAACTCGTCCTCCCTCGTATCCTCGGACCCAAACGTCGTGCCCTCCATACCGTCCTTCGAGGACGAAGCCTACGTCGCCCCACCTCCGTGCCTGCCCTTGGAGGAACAGCGCAAGATGGAGGAGATAGTCGCCTCTTTTAGGAACATCAGCTTCTGTCTTAACGATGCCGAGGCCGTGCCCGACGCGACGAGGGACGTTGAGGAGGCCGTCCTGCCGCCCTCCAGGACGTCCTGCAGTCTCCAGCCCTCGCAGGGGCCGCGCAGCCCCACGTTCCCCACCAATGCCCGTCGACGTGGCCGTCGACCACGGCCGCGCGCCAGGACCGTCCCCTCGGTCCCCTCCGAGGGTCAGGCGCCCTCGAGCCCCGTGCTTGGCAGCGGGAAGGCCTCCAGTAACGCCCCCGGCAAGAGGAAGCGTACCGCCGCAAGTCATCGAAGGAGTCAGTCAGCAGTCCCCACATGCAGCCCTTCATCACCTCCACGAAGAAAGGCGAGGAAAACTACCTGTGCTGCACGGAACGCATCGAAGGTGAGTCAGCGAATCCTATTCTAAAGAGGAAAGTCCTCGGTGTTTCTGCATTTTTCACACTTTTTTTCTTTTACTGGCAACACGTGTGTCACTCCCTTCGACTGGCACTAGAACATGTTTTAATAAAATCAGTGTCACTTTTATTTGAAGGGACGTGCCGAGATGATACCCATGTACGCGAGGCTTCAGGAGATGCGCTTCTTAATGCAAGGTGTTGTCAGAGGCACCGAGCCTCTCCCCACGTCTGAAGAGGTGGCATTGTTAAGAGGCGAAGTTTTAACTATCGAGAACAATTTAAAGCAAGCATTGAAATTCGATGTAGCAAGTAAAGTAAGTATCATTGACGGATTGGTTGCTATATTCATTTTTATAAGTGCTTTGTTTTCTAGATTCTTTTAATATTTTTGTTGCAGCCGGTCAAAGTGAAGCAGGAGGAAGCTTTGCAGGTAGCAGACAAAATTTTGCATCAGCTCCGGGTGCTGGCTGAAATACAGAAGTAAGGTCTTCCCTGTCATAAAAATATGGTAAAACTGTTTAATTTTCTAATGCTTTGTTAAACATTTCATCAGTTCAGAGGCAACACAGGATATAACAGAAGATAATACTCATGGAACCTCATGTAGTAACCCTGCCGCAATTGAGCCATGTGATTCCAGTCCATTCAATATTGAAACAGACGCCAAAACAAGAAACACCGACAAACAACTACCCAAAACAGAAGATTCCCTTAGAGTTGACTCTTCCATGTATAACAAAACAGAGCAAAAGGCTGTGGACACCCTCAACCTGCAAGAGTGTCATCAACTGTCACATGGAGATATACATTTCATTCAAGAGGAAGACCGCCAAGAAAATGACACACATGATGAAACAATTGGCGAATGTGACCCTACTTTTGCCAAAGAGGGTTATTTTCATGAGCAAGTCAATACTACAGCAAAAATTTCAGATATCAGTGCTGCTTGCATATCCAAATCTCCTAAGGTGGATACCTCACTGCAAATTCAAAATATTCAGGGTAATTGTAGTACATTCAAGTCCAAAGAAAATACCCAATTGTTGATATCGAAAGGACCTGACACTTGCTGCTCCTATAGTGCTGGTAACTATTCAGAATTTGTTACTATTTCTTGTAAATTTCCGCCGTAGACATTGTATCTGGTTTTTCACCAGGGGTCCATAATTTATCACCCAAGTATCCTTAACATTATTTCAACCTGTAAAATCACAACTTGTTCTGATTTGATTGCATGAGGGGACAAAAGGGAGAGACATCTGTCTGATGGTCTAAATTCATTTTTCAAGTGAAGCAAGCATATTTTAAATCTATGTCTGGCAAACATCTGATTATTCTGTAACAATCTCAATCAAACGCAAACTTTTTAAAGTCTTCCATTATATTACGTGGCAAATGATATTAGATGTTGTGTTAGGTTGCTAAAACCCTGCATTTTACTTTCTGTTTCAGAGAAGTCAGATTTGCTGATTTCAAAAGAGCTGCCAATATACACAGACGATTCCCGAGAGACGGAATTTACCAGTACTGACAAAGCAAGCTCCCCAGAGCAAAACAAAGAAGAAGTCAGCAAAGTCCAGTTGGAGTACCAGCAATTAATTAGCTTGATCAAAATGAGCTCAGAAATGTCAAGGTCTCAAGCAAAAGAAAACAGAAAAGTAACAGACTATGTATGGAGAGGTGGTCCACTAAAACTGACAGGTATTCTGCTGCCGAAAAGTTCTGAATTGGCACCTATTGATGACTTGCCTCCAAACTTTTGGGATGATCCTCAAGCTCCAATTCCTGAAGAATGGGCTAACATGCTAGAATGGGATGAATAAATTGAATTTAAAACATATTGCCAAACTGATTTATGAAATAGAAAATTTAATGTATAGACTGTAGAAAATTATTCCAAGATTTAAAAAAAAAAACAAGAAACAAGTGTTGTAAATTACAATAGAAATTAGAATATCTTATAGTTTAGAATACATACTGTACAATGTTAAGAAAAATGCTGTTCAACTGCATATAATTACAAGTATCTGATACAAAAAAAAAGGTGCCATTCCAATTAGATCCATTACCATTCACCTTTAGATCTGTTTCACTGTGTTGTGAAATAAAATTCTTGACATTGTAGTTATAAACATGCTTAGGCATCTTTGTCGATCTTGTATAAGTCCGTCAACCTAGTTCGGTATCACAGTTAGAGATAACTTGCAAGCAAATTGTTCAGCCCCATGCTTGGCTTTTGCAGTAATGTAAAACTAATTTTCCATCAGAACCATAACAGTCATAAATGTTTCTCACTATCTGGTCTGGTGCTGGAGCAAATGCTTGATTAACATACAAAAACTGAAATATAAAATATGGAATTAGATATGAGCTGCAACCAGCACAGGATAGAAAACAGTGCAAATAGTACTGAAAAATGTAACTCACTAATGACTCTGAAGGTTCAAGTTTTAGATACTTCTTTATGAAGTCAATGATCCATCCAATTTTTTTATCCTTGTCTAATGCCCACTTTTTTGTTTTCATAATTGGAGCATTACCTGTGGCTTTCAGTAGTATATCAACTGTAACAAAATGACAATTAGGTACAAAAGTCAGTTTCAAAGTTTTTCAATTGGAGGAAATTTGAACTGCCCAGAAAAATATGGAATAAATGATTTTTAAAAAAAAATTAAATCATTTACTTTTGTTTGTTTTGGCTTTGCTTGGACTGTCTGCTACGCCAGACGTGCTAGGAGGTTCAGATGGTACGCTATCTATTTCTCGATCAGACTGGGTCTCTAGAGTTTTGTCACTCTCTGGAGTTTCAACTGGAGAATCTGCACTATCTGCCATTGCTTTTCAAGAATAAAGTTACGAACTAATAGGAAAGGTCCAAAGGGGGCCTAACTTTCCTCTATCTCAGCTCAGGCCAGACGACCGACGTAAACATGAGGTTTGAGGTTGTCTTCACACCAGCAGCAGAAAGATCGATAATGTTATGACCAACGTAGTCTCCAGACCTTCCAACGTAGCGAACTAAACTTGTGTTCCATACCACATGACAAAAACACCTGATACTACTAGATTTATTTATTTTTCTTTAAGAGGGATTATTTAAGTTTAAACTGTGAAAATTAATTATTAGGTTTGTGAATAGCAATGTTGTTTCGGAGGAGAATTCATGCTTGAATGATGGCAGAAACGAACGTAAGAGAGCCGAGTGCCACAGTAGTGCCCTCTAGCGGTCAAATCTCAGATCTTACACTTCACTCAGCTGAACTTTTTCGGTAAGGCTTTAGTGATCTGATTTTATTCCTCAGCAGGAGGACTACATCGAATTGCAACCTTATTTTGCTCCGTATTTTATTATCAGTGCAGCCATGTTTGCCGCTAATGCAGTAAGACGCGCCGCGACCGCTGCCGTCAGAAGAGAGAGCAGACGCAATGTCTCTGCCTACAACGATGTCGTCGCAGCCCCTCCAAGCAACAAGGTTACCGTTACCGTAAGTGTTTCACCCCTATTTGTCAGTTTATTTGATATCCAATAATTGAGTGCCCCCATCAGCCCCCCAAAAGAAATCGTTGAAAAAAATAACGGGTTTCCAGCTGCGGACAATCATGGAGTATCTACTCTTGCTTGCTCTGTATTTTCGTTCTAACCTACCAAAGTTCCTTCCACTTACGGTTGATGATTGATTCCTGTATGATATCTTTGTTTCAGGAGCAAGTCATTCAGGGCATTGTCTTGAGTGCAGGAGTTCTTGCTTACCCTGTTTATGCTATGTTTGAAGTTGCTGAACACAAGCGAGCGGAATACGCTGAAATGGAGGTTCCTGAAGAATGGGAGGAATGGAGAGCCAAGCAAAAGAAGTAGACTAGTAATTTATTATCAGAATGTAGTCAGATTCCAGTCTTGCTTAAGATGGGAGGTTGGTTTTAATTGCATTTAACTTCGCGACGTTTGTGTGCTGTGCAACGTATTCATTCCGAATGGCATTTCAGTGTGGTATTTGATTATGTTCTATGTGAGATGATAATATGCTTTTAACATAATAAAATAATTGTTACTTAGTCTTGACTCTCATTTGTTTCATTAGAAATTACAGAGTTAAACATAACTAAAATAAACCCTTTAATTTATAAATGTCGAAATAATAAACAATGCAAACTAGTGATTTTCAAATATAATGATTACAGTGCTTTCTTAAGTTTAATTAAGGCAGGGCAGGGTTCAGAGCAACTTGATTTAACATTTAAAACATTTAGGGCAGGGCTTCTGCTTCGAAGGACTTCATTTCTTCCTTTTACTCTATAGTCAAATAGAATACATATACACATGAGTTAAACACATACAACTAGTACCAAAATTATGACAATGCATCAATTCCTTCAGCTTACTTTTAGTCTAGAGTGACCACATCAACATCTCGAGATCCTGACTGCAGCTGGGCACCTTGCGGCTGGGACTGCAGCTGGGCACCTATCTGCTGCTGTAGCACAAGGAGCTGCTGTTGCGATAAGTGCTGCAGATGAGGTGGAATATTCTGCATTCGAGGTAGTGGATGTGTGGCGTTCATCATGTTGCCTCGTGGAATAAAAGGTTGAACTGCACTCCTGCCATCTGCAATTTTCCCATAACCTTTGAAAATATTCACAATAAACATTCAAAGAAAGAAATAAAATCAATGACTCACTGATAGTAACTGGCAAAAGATAGATGTTCTGTGGAGTGAATGTGTCTCCTTGCAAGAATGGGAATTGGGGTTGGATTGTTGATGTAGTTCCAGCCTGCTGCTCCACTGTTCTACAGGGAGAAAACAACTGGAAAACAAAATGAGTTTTGCATTATGCAGATCCAATTGGTTTGATTCATTGAAGTTAAAAGACTTGAAAACAATACTACATAGTATTGAATACATCAATGTATTGATTATAAAACTCTATTGCATGGAAACAAATGAAATCTTTAATTTCTTTTCCAGGACTAACCTCCTCAGAGTGGCGGACATTATTGATTCTTATTCCTAGATTTGATGGTGACGATTCTTCTTTTCTGAAGTTTGACTTAGGCTATTGTGACCAAACAAAGCAGAAGGTAATTAGTCACTTACAGTCAATTCCCGTCTAAGCAACTTCACTGGGATGGTATGTAGGTAAAGATCCTTCTCAGCAAAGTGAAATGAAAGGCAAAATGGAATCACTGGCGGGTTTGTCTTAGTTCAAAACCAACTTAAATTTCTTTAAGACCCCATAGTCTACTGCAATAAATTTTTAACACTTTTGATTTAGATTTGTTTGGATTCACAATGTTAATAAAATGAACACACAAAATAAAATACTATTATTTACTGACTGTGACAAAGTACTTTATATTTTGGCTGTAATTGTACTTAAATAGCTGATAATTTGAACTAAAAGTAAACTAAGCGCAGCATTTTTTCCCCCCATCATCACACATTGATAGTGAAGGCAGAGGTAAGAACTAAAATGCTTTATTTAACTGTATATGAATTTTGGTGTTGAGGTTGTCAAGGTGACTGCTGTCCCTGTCGAAAATGGAAGCTTAGGTGCTGTTAAAATTCGACCTCAAGAAGTCAGACAGGTCAGTTTGTCCTAGCTCAAAACCAACTTAAAATTCTTTAAGACCCCATAGTCTACTGCAATAAATTTTTAACACTTTTGATTTAGATTTGTTTAGATTCACAATTTATGAAATGAACACACAAAAGAAATTAACTATTATTTACTGACTGTGACAAAGTACTTTACATTTTGGTTGTAATTGTACTTAAATAGCTGATAAATTGAACTAAAAGTAAACTAAGCGCAGCATTTTTTCCCCCCATCATCACACATTGATATTGAAGGCAGAGGTAAGAACTAAAAGAACATGATGAGGGCAGATTTGTACTTACTGTTGTTGGTGTTGGGACTAATGATATGCTGACATCTTGGCGGTTGGGCAGCAATGAAGTTGAAGGATGATCAACTTTTAAGGAAAGAGTCTCCTGTCTGACTTCTTGAGGTTGTATTTTAACTGCACCTAAACTTCCATTTTCGACAGGGACAGTATCACCAGCAGTCACCTTAACAACCTCAACACCAAAATTCATACACAGTTAAATAAAGCATCTTCATCCTTCACTATTGTTTTTCTATCTACTAATGATATCAATACCTTAATTGTCCTTCCATCTGTTGTAAAAAGTTCCTTATCAACATACTGTGGTACTGGATAGGTTTTAGCAATAAGTGGTTGTGGTGCTGGCTTTGAGGTTTTCTCATCAATAACCTAAATTTTGAATCAGATATATAAAAACAAGGACACTTCTTTGAGAGATAACTGAAGGAACTTTACAAACCTCAACATCACTTTCAGAATCATCTACAACTATTATGTCATCTTCATCATCATTTGACAGTGGTCTACTTGGTCCCGGTAGAACAACCTGGTCACTATCATTTTGGGGACTTGAACTTTCATCATGATTACGCTCAAGAACTACAGCACTATTACTTTCTATGGATACATCTGTAAAAAAGATTTTAGCAAACAGTTAACAATAAAATTAATTTGTACTTAAAGAATACTAATGTTACCTAGGGGACGTACCTATATTTGGGGTTGGAGTGCTGGGTTTTCTCCTTTTAGGGGCTTGTGGTTCGCTAATACTATCCCCAGATCTCCTCCTAAGTTAATTAAAGGTTAATTAACGTGAGAGAACAAAATGTAAAGTGTCATAAATGTAATTTTAAGAAATTAAAATTCTATGTACTTACACAGAAGAACTACTGGTTGAAGCTGTAGGATGAGGATCCTCCCTTTTATCCACTGTGAAATGAAAATCTCTATAAAGATGAAGTAAATCAAATACATATTGTTCATTTTTTATTGTTATCATCCACATTACCTTTGGCTAAGACTTCAATACAGAGTACACAACGAAACGAATTATTGAGTGCAGAAATTTTCAGGCCACCACAAACAACATGTGTCCCTTGAGATCCACAGGAATTACATCTTAACATTCTCCAGCTTCCACTGCAAAAATAGAAAATGAGACGATCCATGAAATGGATTCATCAAAGACGGAACTTTAAAGGTGGTTGGTAAAGCATTAGTAATGCACTGAAAACACTCACGTGTTTTGAGAGAAATTTCTTCCATCAGGACACTTGCATGTTTCAGCATCGCATTTGTTATATCTATGTAAGAGCTCTCTAAAAGCATCTGGCTCCCGCTCCCATGCCGCATCCCTACAAGTAAAAGAACATAACACAAATTTAAGTCAACAACAACATTGATTTTTAATTTTAAAACATTCCAGCAAGAATTATAAAAAAAAGAAATCTGGTAGATGTGTTACAGATAAGCTCAATATAGTGTCAGTGGATGTTGCTTGAAAAAAGCGACGCTAAATGCTGAGCAATTAGTTTTTTTACATTGGTTGCTCCGAAAAACCACCGCTAAAAGCGGAATGACGCTATATGCGACACTAGACCGAGCTTATTAGATGATAGAAGTTTTCTGTACTTACATTTCTGGAATATATACACCAAATTCTTTCATTTCTTTGTTAAATTCATCCTTGTTGTTGCACATTGGGCACTTAAAAAAGTACCCTTGTGCTTGAGCTTGTCTCTAAAGATAGAAAAGGGAAGCAGATATAGAGAATCTTCATCAGGGGCTGATTTATTTATTTAATTTAATGTCAGCTCTACTCACCTCAACACAAGATCTATGAAACCACCTCTTTTTACAGCATGGTGCCCAAAGAGTATCACTTGAGACTTTGTTTGGTACTGTTTCATAACAAATGGGACAAACCAACCCATCTTCTTCTTCTGCAGCTTGATTTAAAATTTTGGGATCAACAGATTGACTAGGTCGATGAGCAGGACAAAATGATCTGAAACAAAACAGTTTCTTTACATATGTGACAATTATAGACAAATTTAATCAAAAATAACTAAACATACCGAAATTCTCCAAAGAATTGGTGCATAGATCCATGCTTTAAGCCACACGGAAGATGGAAAGCTTTTTTACATGACTTTACATTGCAGCCTATTGTTGCACCATTTTTACGGCAATAGGAGCACCTCTAACAAAATAAATGGGATAAAATAAAAAAGGATTATGAGATTTGGGGATCTTAAAATGAGTTTCAGGGAAAACATTATGAGATACCATAAGAAACAGAAAATATTATTCATACCAGCCGTCCACCTCTCCTAGCTTCACTTCTTATATCTTTGGGGAAGAATCCTAATAAGCCTTCATCATCGGATTCCCCTCTCTGAATCAAAGAACTTGAAAATAACTGAAAATTAATAGTTTTTAAAATTATACAACCATGAGTTACGTTCATAAGGGTTGATTCAATTTTGAATATGGTGCTGTAATGACTCTTACCAAACAGAAATAGTGGACAACAAGTCCATCAATTTGATACACATCCCCATACTTTACAGGATCATACAATTTGCTATGACACATGATACATTTATTCTTTGTCTTTTCCACCTCAGTATTGGATAACTTGACATAGTTGCAAGTTTTCTCAACTGCTTCACCGTCATCATTATTGGTCATGATTTTAAACCTGTGCGAGAAAAAAAAAATCAAAACTATAATAAGCAAAATTTTCAAAATTGGAAAGGAAAATTAATAATACATTTCAATTCGAACCTAATATTCAATTAAATGCAGTCAAAAACATGTGGTTCGAGATTTGGGAATAATCATAAAGTACTGGAAACATGTTCCCTTCATCACTGAATGAGGTTATGTTGTTGAAGCAAGAAATATAACGTTAAAACATTAACACTACAAAGGTAGAGGTGATCCGGGGACACGAGAGTCGCTAAATTATGGCTAACAACAAAACATTTTTAAATAAAATCTTGAAAACTTTAGAAGAAGCACCTGTACGTGTGACAACGATTCCTATCATCTTCATAACTGAGAAAGAATAAAAATACTGGACGAAACACGTATTTTGAACTAAATGAAGGGTTCACTTTGATGAACACTGATGACTTTACTTAAATAATCTAACCATTAAATACGTACAAGTCATTCATCATCGTACCTTGCATCCTACGAAACTTCTCAAGTCCTTTTGTTTACGTTCGTGCGTTATCTCTTCGCTACGTTGGCAAGATGTGGATGGCGGGCAGAATTCGGTTGGTTTACTGTGCCCGCGCAATACAATTTCTCAACAAATGACTCTTAGTAACGACTGATAAAAAACGACCCTTATTAACGACTGACAATAACGGATCTTGTCGAAGAGCACAGCTATATGTATGCAGTGACAACTAACAGCCGCACGACATGGGCTAAGAGAAAAAGACAAAACAGTTCCACCATGCAGATTTCGAAATTTTTAGTTCTGCTGCATCGCAACCGCATTTTACCATCACCAGGACTACTACTGCGGGGACATCGTTATCGTGGGCCAAAAAACTGTAAAATTTGACGTAAGCATCGTATACACGGGCCACTGTATTTCCATCTCGCCGTTAATATTCGTGACGGTAGAAGTGAGAAGTTTTGCTGCGCCTTTGGCCAGCATTTTCTTTTTATTATCAGCCGCCATCTGCAGAGAGGCCCTCCTCGCCTCGTCATAGCCCCACCGACAGCCCCAGCCGGCACCTCTATTGAGGCGCTATCGACCAGCTGTATATCGACGCCCTCCCGGGGCCGGCGGGGGCCCTGGGCCGTAGGGGAGGCCGCGCCGGCCAGGACACCGGCCAGTGCAGGTCTTGAGCTTCCAGTATTCACGCGTGGACGGCAACCACCAGGTGCGTAGAGTGCAGAGTGTCTGTGTCACCCGTTCCTAGAGCTGGAGCTGGTGGCGCCTTCTCCTGTCACGGAACGCCACTAACCAGCCCCACTCCTCCACCCGCAGGATGAAGTACCAGCAGGTAACGGTGGACGTGTGGAAGATGATGGTGACGGCGGCCTCGTACATGGCGCTGGCCTTCGCCGCCTGGGTGCTGCTGCGGCTGGTGAGCGCGTGCATCTCGCTCCCGGGGCACCTCCGCAAGCAGCAGGAGGAGGAGGAGGAAGAGGAGCGCAGGCTGCTCGCCGAGTGCGCCTCCGAGGAGGAGGGCGAGGGCGAGCCAGAGCAGGAGCAGGAGGAGGACGCCGGCGGGGAGCCAGAGGCTGCCGCCGAGGGGGATGCTGCCGCGGCCACCGCCACGACCGCCATCGTCACCACGAGCGTGACGCCCGCTTCGCCGCAGGCGCGCGGCCGACGCCGGGGTGGAGCCCCGAAGGCTGAGCAGGTGGACGCCGCCGGGGCTGGCGCCGAGCACTGCCCTGTACCCCCAGCCCCAACTTCCCCGGTCAGACAGGTCGCCGCCCAACCCCAGGCCGCAGACGCGGAAGAGAAAAAGAAGAAGAAAAAGTGAAAATCTGTTTCCTAATGTAAGCCCCCTCTGTCTGAGTGTTTGTTTCTAACCATCCTGACGTTGAAATAATGTCGAAAGCCCATCGCAATTTTATCATCTTGTCCCACGTCAGCGCTCATCGGCCTTCGGGCCCAGGGGCGGCCAGCGGCCAGGGGCCAGGGCGTCGCTCGAACACGGGCAAAGAGGGCTGCAAAGCCGCGTATCTGACGTTGCGGCTCGCACAAAAGGAACCGACGGCCCGGCCCGTCCTACAATGGGACCAGGCCGCCGGGTTGCCTACCCTGTCGAACACAGGCGCGCGTCGTGTCGTCGGGCCGGGCCGGCCGGCTGGGCCTCACTGCCCTGAATACGCTCTGCCCTGCCTTCGGCCACGTGCCATCGGGTTCGTTTGTGTTTCCCCCTGTCGGTGACAGGCTCTTTTGAAAAGCCCGCCGTGGTGCTCTTCCTTTCATTGCACTAATTTGAATAGAGCGACGTGCCGCTATCTAGTGACGAGCACTGCCCTCTGTGCGTGTTGAATGTAGTGTGCGAGCAAATTTGCTCTATGAAGTTGTTTTTCTCTTCCATTCTCTCCCATCGTCTTTTCTCTATTAATACGGACCTTCCATTTAATCGTGTTTTTAAGAGGTTTATTCTCCTGTGATCGTTTTGTGTATTCCGTCATTTTAGACAGTCGCCAAGACTGTCTTCCAGAATATGAAAAAGTGTTTTGATGCCCGTTCCGTGTAGTTTGTATATGTCGTTTGTAAAGCGTTAAATGTGTTGAACAATAAACTCCATACCAACTAACACAAACGATTTAATAAATTGCACCCGATGTCCATATACAGAACGCAGAGGGGCCGGGGGTCCAAGGCTCGGGGAGGAGGGGTGGTGGGCAAACATACTCACCCCCGGCGGCGCTCATTAACACGGCACCGGGAGGACTCACCGGGGGTGCGAGGAACACTAGGGCAGGGGGTGGCTGAGGCCGGGAGGGAGGGCGGCGGCGCGAGAGGGGGAGGGCCCTCCGCTGGAGGGGGTTGTGACGTCACACTGGAGCCACTCTCGCCGGGTCGGGTTGTGCCCGGGGCCCGGAGCCAGCGCTGGCCCAGCCAGTGTGTTCCTCGCGGTACAGCGCGGCGGGTGGGTGGCGTGGCGTGGCGGAGCGGAGCGGCAGCGAGGTGGAGCAGGACCCGCAGGGGGGGCAGGAGGGGGCGGCAGGAGGGCGGCGCACCCGGGAGTGAGCACACTGCAGTCCTGGAGGAGGCCGTGCTGGCCGACGGGCACGTGACGTGCCGAGGCGGCCGAGGCGCGCGCCCTCCCCCCTCCCCGGCCAGGGCGGCAGGGCGAGGTGATCGATGGCCAACCTCTAGGAGGACATCGCTGCCCAGCCCGGCGCAGCCCGGCGCAGCCCACGACAGAGCGGAGCGCAGCGGGTACGTAAACACCAGTGGCCGGGCGCGGCGCAGCACGGCGCGGCGTGGCCGCCCGGAGTAGATTGGTCATCGGAAAAATAAAGGGGCGGGGGAGCCGGAAGCCGTCGGTGGCGACCGAGCTTGTAAACAAACGCGCTACGCCACGACGCGCAGCGCCGAGCTGTGCTTGAACTGCTCACGTCAGGGGGGGGGGGGGGGGCAGGAGGCGCCCTCGCCAAGGACGGTCGGTCAGTTGGAAGGGAGAGGGGCGCTGTTATGAGGAAGCTGTATGTGTTTCCCGTGAAAAAGAAAGCATTTCGACAAGGGGTGGATGCGGCTCAGTGTGGCTGCTTGATGAGGCGCCTGCAAGCGAGCTGGGTAGGCGACCCGCCGCACACGGCTGCGCGGAGGAGGCTACCTCCCAGGGGCCCGACCGGGATGGTGTGGAGTGGAGGCTGGGGATAGTGGGATGGGCGAGAGCGGCAGAGTAGGTGGCAGCGGAAGAGTGTGGAGGCAGAGAGCGGCAACGTGCGTGCTGAAAGGAATAGCTACTTCTCATCTCCAACTCAGCCCCATTGATCGCCATGGACGAACCCCTCCCTTCCAACACCCCCTCCCCCTCCCTTCATTACCATTCGTCTTCTTCCCTCCTCTCTCCCTGACCCACACCAACAACCCTCCCCCATCTCCCCAACTCGGTTCTTTCTCTTTGCCCCTTTACCCCTCCTTGTACCCCCTTCTTAACTTCCCAACTCGTCCCTCTGCCTGCCGTACGACCACCAGGAACTTGAAGATGTTTGAAGAGTGCAGCTTGCACAAAGACAGAGGGGGACAGTTTGTCCTGACGGAACTGTTTGCAATGTGACGTGTTTCTGCGCAACGCGACGATGGCCTCTCTAACAATAATTTGCCTCATTTCAGGTGCCGTCGTACCGAGCCAAGTCCGCTGAAGTGAGAAGGGCCGCTCCTGCTCGTTTGTCGACGGGTCCGTCCGTCGGGTCTGAGCGCCGGCCGCGGGGCCAGCGCGGCGCGGGCACGGGGCCCTTGTCCTCGCCGGTGGGCCGCGCACTGCCACGCCGTGCCACGCCGCAGCCTTGTGCGCCAGCATCGAGGGCCAGGATGGCTCGCCCCGGCCGGACGCCGACCGGTCGGGGCGACCCGTCCAGGCGCAGCAGCACCAGCAGCAGTACCAGCACCAGGAGCAACAGCACCGACTGGGACCCGGAGGCCTCGGCGGGGCCACCAGGTCCCGGAACGCTCGCTCGGCGCACGACGTGCTCAGCGCCGACGTCGCGCGCACGCCCAACGTCTCCCCGCGGAAGCCCCGGCGAGCACGTTCGCACGGCAACACCTCCCTCATCGTGTGAGTACATCTCACCTGCACCCTCACCCCGCTTGTGCACACGCCCGCCTGCCTCCCCCTCCCACAACATGCACGCCATACCGCCCCCTCTGCTGATAGCTCTTTGGCGGTAGCGCCGGAGTCGAACGGAAAGGGTCCACATCACGCCCCGCCGCGCCACGCCCCACCGCGCCACGCCGCGCCCGGCCCGGTCGATGCGGAGCGCGGAGTGTGTTGTGCCCGTGTTTGAAGGTGGGCCGGGCCCCGGCCGGTGGAAGGACACACACAGGACACGGGTGGGTCGATGTGATGGGCAAGCCATTTGCGCTTCTGTGAGAGACAACCTCTAACTTCGTTCCCCAAAGCCACGGCACCGACCGCACATTTTAACTTTGCTTTTTCGATGCGGGGTGCGCTCCGCCTTGTTCGGCAGAGTCCCCCTTCCTCCTCGGCATGTGAGTACAAAAACATCCACGGCACTCTCATGCCTTTGACTTATTTAGTGGCTTCGTTTGGACTGAACTTTGCGGTTCACCGAGTGGAGCATCACGGAGCGCGCGCACGGCCGCGACCGGCAGGGTGGCCATGTTCACCACACAAAGAGGGCTGGCTCCCGCTCCGCCCGCTTCTGCTGACAGGACTCGCTGGATATGATTTCACCATCACTACCCCGCGTCTATACCCCCATGTCCATAAAAGTCTCCAGGCCCGCGGGGTAAAGTCGTCAGTCAGAGTCCCGCGGTCAAACGGAACTGGCGGCCGCTCGACCGTCACAAAAATGTGATACATCAGAGTAAAATCAATTATTCGCGACAGCCCTAACACCAATTCAATTTCTACAAGTAGCAGCAGCCGTGCTCCGCGGATAGCTAAACGTGCTAGGGATAGCTCTCAAGCCTCTTATTGACTCCGGAAGAAACGGTACATTGAGTAAGTACCAGGTGGCTGATTAACCCCGCGCACTTATGTTGTTAGACTGCTACCGCACGCACGAGTGCGGGCGGGTTGCCTACTCGCCCGGCCCGTAAGACGCCGTGGACAGGGGTGATAGGCAGGCCCGCCCGCACTCCTGCGTGCGGTACAGTCTAACTACAGAAGTGCGCGGGGTTAATCAGCCACCTGGTACAGTACATTCGAAAAGTGCGAACAAGCAAACCCATATTCGTGTGTGCCCCACACTGAGGAAAATGATCGGTCTGTATGTTTTAAACTTTGGTTGTCGTGTCATGACCAATCAATTTAATCTCCAGAGCTTTGACTAAAACACATTGTTATACCAGCAGTAATGAGGTGCGCTGCAAGGGCATCATCACGTTTGCACTTCTTTAGTACTGATAAAAGAATTTACATAATGAACCCAGACAAATAAAAACGATATTGATTATTAATTTTGACAGAATGTATCTAAGTTTCCTCTTTCCTCCCTATTTCGAGTTTCCAGACATTCAGTTCATCCTGGACCTCTGATCGACTACCAATGTCCAAGGCCCCGAGGCACTGGGCTGAGGAAACTGGCAATGCGCCCGTCGATCGGTGATCAAACCCGGACCACCTTAAAAAAGGTCTTTTTGTATTATACCTCGAATAAAAAGCGCACAAATAGTAGTGTCTAGGATTTTCGACTCTCATGTCAGTCCAAACAGATTGTGAGTTTAGAATGAGACACCCTTTCATCACACCTAAAATGGCGGCCTACAGGTTATGGTTGGATTCATTGCAGAAAAACCCATGGATATAATTTCTCTCCGTGCATGCTGCCTCCCACGCTCCCGTCTCCCCCAAAAGCCCAGAGTAAACAGCTGCCCGGCTCTGGGCCGGAGTGAAAAGAGCAGAGGAGTGGGCATGGGGTGGGCACTGCAACCCCCCACCCCTTTCCCTCCTCTCTTCCGGAGACGGCAAATCGATGAGATTCGAAACGGGCGAGCCTGTTCTAATTCCAGCAGGGTTAATCGTTGGAATCCGGATGGGGCCCCGGGTCGGATCGAGAGAGCGTCGCGAGGCGATTTACGGCCGTTCGGCAAGGAGTTATAATTGACAACAGGCTGCAAACTAAATTACAGAAAGTCTCACGGCCGAGGCTGTCCGTGAGGCACGCACACCCAGGATCCAGCTGATCAAGCCAACCCCAGTGGGGAAGCGGGGAGGGGGAGTCGGGAGAAGGGCTGGGCGGGGAGCACTCGCTCTCAGCCAGCCACCCTCGCCTTCCACATTTTCCTTTTTCACATTTTCACGATTTTACCAAATTCACCCATCGCCTTCGATTATTGCTTTAATCTTTTGACATGTTGTAGTCCGGAAAGATATGTGCAGTGTGAGCTTAAGCGCAACCGGAGCCTCGGAAAGATGTTATAAAACGGTTTTCATTCCGATGGGAGTCTAAGGATCGACGCTATAGGGGCTTCGACACTTGAAACCAAAAGCACGGAGTTCGTGGAGTCTCCGTATAAACCCGTAGTTCCAGGGAGCTCCGTATAGACACGCAGTTCAGCTGGCCCCCGTATAACGTCGTAAGTGCTTGAAAGTCACTTCTGAGATATAGCGCTTCAAAGTTTAGGATTTACATTGCGCCTTATGGGCGGCTGGATTTTCAGACCAGAATAACGTTTGAACTAATTGACTTATCGAAATGCGGTTTTCGCTAATCGATAGCCCGCGGTTTCCTCTATCCGACGCACTTCATAACTCGAAATTTTCAAAAAACATAGTTACGACGCTATACGGCGGCCTGCTGAACTCCGTGTTTGTACGGAGCCCCCGGGAACTGCGTGTGTATACGGAGCCGCCACGTACTCCGTGTGTATAGGTTTCAAGTGTCGGAATGAAAGGTCTTTGACGCAGAGTAATGCAGATGAAACAACTATCCCTCGTCTAGCACCTCGACTTTTGGTGCTCGTGCCGCGGGAGCTGCATGGCGCCGGCGCCGCCGATAAGGCCGGCTGACCGGGTGGAGGCGCGGGTAGCGCGCGCACCCACCGCGCTCCTTTTATATATTTCGCCCGCCCCGCCTCGGCCCCGCCCCGCCCCCTTCGCAATGAATAACTGATGAGTCAGCCCTCTGCGCCGGAATATTTTTCTGTAGCTTTCCGGCTTCCTCGCCTCGCCCTGTGGGGGGGCTGCTGCTGCGGCCGCACGGCTCCGCTGCTCGGCAATCATTTTATTCTTCCCCGTCGACGTCACCATCGTTGCGATAAAGAAAAAGTCGGTGGCAATAAAAAGAGAAAGAGATGTAGGGGAGGGAGGCTAGTTACCCCGGACGGGTTTGTCGACCCCTGGCTCTGCTCGGGGTGGCTCGCCGTCGTCGGCGGCAGGACCCCCTATGCGGCCCTGGCGGGGGGTCCTCGCTTGATAGGTCAGTCGGTGATCAAGGCCGTCTGTTTATGGAGAGGGAAGACCCTCGTCGACATCTCTGTTATGTCCTGCACAGTTATGTCCTGCTGTGGCGGCGCCCGCGGAGGGGGGATAGTGACGGGTGTGCTGGGTAGCCCAGGCAGAAATTTTTCCGACGATATCGTTTCTACACAGGTTTTCACGTCGTTAGCGATACTACAGTGGGGCTGGAACCGACGGCCTTTCGACAAAAGACTTCGAAACAACATCGAAGCGATGTCGTTTGTCGAAAAGCCGTCGATTCCAGCCCCACTATAGTATCCGATAGTATCGCTAATGACGTGAAAACCGATGTAGAAACGATATCGTAGGAAAAATTTCTGACTGGGCGGAGCCGAGCTGGGGGATGTGATCTGGCGAGGAATCGCTTTCCCCCGCTTTGTCCCTCATTCGCTCCTAGGCTCCAGTGCTTTTAGACTCGTCGCGATCTAAAGCGCCACCACCCCCCGCATTGGGGGCGTGGGGGCCCGGATGGCTTTCTGTAGACTCTATTTCGAGGACGTTGACAACCGAATGGAGGCTACTACGCGTTGGCGCACGCCGTTGGGAGTTTGGGGCGGTCGCGCACGACTGCGTCCAACCGGGGCCATCTTCCTGGAAGGGTTTTGGTCGGTGGGAGGGGAGTGGGGCATTTATTAGATCGCGTTTGAGAGCGTGAGTGTGTGTGTGTGTGTGTGTGTGTGCGTGCGTGTGCGTGTGCGTGTGTGGCTCATCCCCGCAAACTTTGTCAAAGTTAAACAGGTTTGGGACGGGGCGGGCTCCATAATGCCGCTAATTAATGCCCGGTTTATGTCTCGTAGCCGGCCCCGAGTGGCCGCCCTCCCTCTCCTATGCGGTGGACGCCGCGCCCGCCGTGCGGCGTGCTGCTGGGGGGAGGGCGTGTTGGGGGGCAGGGGCGGGGAAGGGGAGAGCCAAGTCGAGATGAGATGTGTGTCCAGGGGGAGGGGCTGTGGTCCGGCCGACTCGGTCTTGATTGCGAGGCTGGTTGCTGCAGCTCCCGGACATGGACCCGACCCGCGGCCTCCGCGACGTTGTTCGACGGCGCGGCCGCCACCACGGCTCATTGCGTAGGCAGTTGCGGTAGGCGGCGTCGTCCTCGGGATGTCCCTGGTGCGGGTGTCAGAACGTTCCCCGCGCGCTATACATCGGGAGAAAGCTTCGCGTGGATTCGACCTCTGTCGGGCACATTCCAGCTTATCTCCCGGCTGCAGACGGACTCCCCGACAGCGTCAGGCGTGTAGGATCACCCACCGCCCCGCTCACCCGCCGGCGTAGTCTGCTCCGGGGGTCTGCCCCCCCCCCCCTAAGCCAGAGATCAGCTCCTCCAGCCTGCAGAGACAGCACTATTTCGGTGACAATCTCCGCGAGCAAAACTGAACTGACGCGCGCAGAAGGAGGTGGGAAGGGGTAGGGGGACTGGGTGACCTTTCTTCACAAGTCTCTGGGCTGACTTAGACAGAATAAAAAGTCGGGGGAAGAGGATTGTCTGCGACGTGCCTCCATCCCCAGCCAAGCACGCAAAGGTGGTGGGTTTGCAAAGAAGTCACAATGTAGCGCGACTTACTTTGGGCCAAAGTTTTCTCCTCTCCAAGAGTTTGTCGCACTGAGACAAGCGGCACCCCACGAACCTCGCGACCACGCCCTTGGGGTCCCAAGCGGGGTTTGCGCAAAGTTCCAACAGCTTATTGCGACGGGTTCTCGACGTGTTGCCCGTGTTCCTGTTGGTGCACGGTACGGATGGATTGCACACTTCCTTGCAGTCAGACTTTTGGTCACTGGGCGGACATTTAACAAGAACTCTAAAATATGCTTCCGTAGTTGATAATATAACTAGCAATACGAATTCATGTTGATTTTTAGTATTTTCAAACTGAGATGTTTTTTGAATTAAAGTATTTTGAAAAAGAGGTGTATCTATCAGGTGGCTGAATCACGCCGCGCACTTTCGTAGCTCCACTATGCTGCATACACGCGTGCGGGCGGGTTGCCTACTCGCACGGGGCCATAAGGAGCAGTGGGCAGCGATGATAGGCAAACCGGACCGCACCCGTGCATGCGGTACAGTGTATCTCCGAACGTGCGTGGCGTGAGTCGGTCAGACACCTAGTATTTCCGAAAATAATGTTTAAATAATTAGATAAAGAATGATCTTGGATTGTCCTTCTTAGACTAATCTCTCATCACCGTATCTCCATTACAGCTCGCGTTTTAGGACAGGTACTCGGGCGCCTGCCTGCACAACTAGCGGGCGGGTGATGGTCCCTTCATTCGCCGCTCCTCGCCCCGGCCGGCAGTTAGTTGGGGCCATTACGACAATTATACGGTGGGAATGCATCCCCCCACCTCCCCTTGCGCCCAACCCGCCCCCCACTCACACCTCTTCGGTAAGGTGTCAAAGTCCTGGCCGCCACCGCTGCACGCCCATGCCCCCATAGCGCTCTCGCCCCACCCGGGCGCCGCCGCCGCCGCTACCGCCGCTACCGCAGCAGCCTGGTTGCCTGGCGACGGGACCCCGCGGCCCACGGGTGCCCTCCCCTTCTCTTCCCCTTCTCCTCCCCCAGCGAGGCGTTCGATGCTCCCTCCCCCCTCCCCCGCTCCACCCCTCTCGCGCGCGGCCCCGCAGTGGCAGAGGCAGCGCGGCGGGCGGGCAGCGGGCGGCAGTCCCGCACAGCCGAGAGGGCCGCGAGGGTCGCCCACGAGAGCGAGGGAGACAGACACCGGGCGGGGCGGACCGCGTGGGTGGACCGGCGGACCCGGTCCAGGTTAACGTCGGCGAGGATCGTCGCGTGTCCGCGTAGAGGGGAGGCGCCGCGCGAATACGAGGACGCCGTCGATCGAGTGCGCGCCGAGCGGGCCGGGCTCATGTGCGTGAGCGAGGCTCGGCCCACGCGGCCCTCGTCCTTCAGCGGCGCGGGGTGCACGCCGTGCTCGGGGTGCAGGGTCTCGGACCTCAGCGCCTGCGCCAATGGCACCAAGCCCATGTATGTAAAGGATGTTCATCGGCGTGCTCCTGTCTAAGCTTGTTCTTTGTCTTTCAACCATCTTTGTGTCGTGTCAGTGTGGTTGATGTTGAGGTGGTGGTTGTGGTGGTGGTGTGTCACAACGAAAGCGCGGTGGGGTCAAAACCCTCCTCCCGAGTCGCATTGCACCTCGTGTTAGGCAACCCTCACCGCGCGCCGCGCGTTTGTAAGGGTTTAGGAGGCGGAGGGCGAAAACTTTGGTGACGTAACCAGCGCCGGGAGACGTCACGGATGGGGTAGGGGATATGGATGTGACTGGGAGCTGGAGAGCCGCGGTCCTTTGGAGGTTAAGGGATGGGCTGGTGCGGGTCGATTATGCACGTGGTCTTTAATTTTGGGTGAAATGGTGCTTGATCCTGAGTTTTGATGTTAACGTTACGTGGAAAACAGAGGCGGACATAAACCGCAGTACACACACGGAACAAAACTTTATTCGTAGAGCGTGAGGTTTGGGAGGGCGCAGCGGCGGCGCGCTAAGTCAGGAGAAGGGGCGGCCGACACGCCTTATCTACATAAGGAGCGGATCGTGAACTCCTGACCTGCGATAGAGCGGGGCCGGCGAGGCGGCGAGAGGGGCGTCCAGGCGAGCAGGGCTCGCTTGTAAACAAGGGAAAGGCAGGCAGCCCGGCCCGGGAGGCATGCACCGGCCGAGGGTGTTGCCACCCTCCCCTCCCCAGTTAGCCGCGTCCACATGTGGTGGTTATGTCACCAACACGCCTCCCGCGCCTCCTTTATTATCACAGTGTAGGGTCTATAATTTAATCCCGCGCGTCCGCCGGCGACGAATCCAGAGAGAGGCCCGCATGGCCGAGCGTTAGCCGCGGCCCGGGGGGGCGGGAGGCGGGGGCCGCGGCGCGGGCCTCTGACGATGGGTCCCTATGGGTCCCGACCCCGACAACGCCACCCGGCATTGCCACAGTGCAGCGCGATTTGGAAGCATCGACATGTCGCCACGGATTCAAATCCTACTCGAAGATGTTCGAGGTTTGAGTTTTATGCGGTCTGAGATCAGGTTGGGTTTTCTGAAAAGACCAACAACTCCTGGACGCCGATAGTTGTTTAGATCCATGGAACCCCAATCAAGGAACTGAAAAGAATGGCGTCGGGAGTTGCAATGACGGCTGCAAAATGTAACCTGCTGTCAGCCATACCAGGTGGCTGACTCACGCCACGCACTTTCGTAGTTACACTGTACGGCACGCATGCATGCGGGCGAGTTGCCTACTCGCACGGAGCTGTAAGGAGCCGCGGGCAGCGTGAAAAGGCAAGCCCGCCCGCACTCGTGCATGCAGTAAAGTATAACAACGAAAGTGCGCGGCGTGAGTCAGCCACCCGGTATACCCCCCCCCCCCCCCCCCCCAATGAGCCGATCATGAAAAAACATGATCGTACGTTTAAAAAACAAGTTTGACGATCAGTTCAAGTTCAAACTAAGTCTCGTAACTGTATGGACCCCCAGAGATACAAAACTGACGGCCGCGCCGGTGGTGTGCTTAGTGCTTGTGCCCGTGCGAGGTCTGCCCCGTCTGCTGTCCGCGTGACGTCAACCCCGTCGTGACCTCCCCGACACGCCGGTGCGCGCCGAGCCGATGGAGCGTGCGAACCGTTTATCCAGTCCAGTGTTCGTATCTCTTTGTCCCTTCCTGGTCGATGCCGCTGCCGGCGCGCGTCATAAAAATACGACCCGGCGCCCAGCAGTGCTCGGCCCGCCCAGGACAGCGCCGGGCCGCTCGATAAATGAAAGGCGGAGACGTCGAAGCTTTGGCCGCCGTCGACTAAATAATGCGCGCCTGGCCTCGTTAGCGACGCCGACGCTAATGCCACTCGGTCGGCCCGGCCCGAGCCGCCCTCCCCGCCGTTCCGCGCGTTCGCACTGCCCGGCCGCGCCGCGCTTGCGCTGGTCAGGCATGCGGGGCATCACCTCTCTCCCTTCCTTGGTCTCCTCCCCGGCCCGGCGCGGCCCCGCCTCCCGCGGGTTCAACACCCCTCGCCCTCGCCCCCCTCCCCCTTGGGCAGACTCGGCTCCAAAGCGTTTCCCCGGTCTAAACTCATGCGCCCCTCCTCTCCCCCGTGGTGGTGCATCCGTTGCTGTTGCTGCTGTGCTGCGAACGGGCCGCCGATGTGCGCTGCCGGGTGGGGTGGTGGGGAGCGGGGTAAGTCCTAGGGGAATGCCCCCCCCCCCTCCTCCCGTCATTCCCACGACGCGGGGTGACGCATTGCTACGCTCCACGTGGTCGCCGCGTGTCACTTTTCTCTTCCCCCCTTCTCTCTCTCTCTCTGCGCCTAACATCAAGACGCTACCCATTTCTCGCCCCCCCCCCTCCACCACCGACTCACTAACACGATCGCCGCGCTCTCCTCTCGGCCCTCATCCTTGTTGTGGCGGTGCTGGCTGGTGGGCATGGTGGAGGGGGAGACACCCCCACCCCCACCTCCCCAAGTGCCCTCACATCAATCCCTTGTTTGGCCAGCGAGTGGGTTTGTTTGGCCTGCCGTTAATGGTTCTCGAGCCTGCTGCTCTCCGAAAGCACTGGATGACTTGGTCTGTGGACACCCGCCCGCGGACGAGTGAGTAAGCAAACCTATGCCTGAGGACACTCTAGAGAGGTATCCCCCTTGCTGGTCACCTTTTTTTGTAAGAATTCGGTGGTCGCAGTGCTGGTTGTGGTGAGTTCTTTTGGGTCAAGTACATTGTACTTGATTTTCCAAGTGTACATGCCTTGATTCTAGTGATATGCACTTGAATAATCAAGGATCAAGCAAAATATGCAATTACATGTACTTGATCGGAAAACTCTGTTGTTGTTCTTTTTTTTTGGGGGGGGGGG